CAATATAACCAAAACATTAAGGGCGTGTTCGGCACACGTCGACGTCGTTTGGGAGCTTGTGGCTTCTAGCTTTTAAGAAAACGCTAGTAAAAAAGCAAAAGTCTCATTCGGCGACAGGAGCGTTTAACTTTTAACCTAAACAAAACGCTCCAAAATCAAAAGCTACATGGAGTAGCTTTCAACAAACTGCTCCAAAATCAAACACTACCCGCTTTCAGTTAGTTTTGCCAAACATGCCCTAAAACCAATGAAAGCCACACAAAAAACCCTTATAAGACATGTTATACTACAACCGTTTGTTTTAATTGGTTTTTTTGCCCAATGTGTTCACTTAGATGTTACTCAATCATCTTAGGGGGTGTTTGGGATTGCTTTTCAAAACAAGTTATTGATCTATTGACTTTTTGAAAACTAATAAGTTAAAAAAAAAAAATTTGGCAAACTCAAAAGCATTTTTGAAAATAGCTTTTTTATTAGCTTCAAAAAACACTTTAAAAAGCATGTAAAACTTGATTTTTTGAAATTGCTTTTGGTTTTTTAACCAAAATAACTTCAAAAAATATTTTTTAAGTCAAACGTTTTTTTAACTTATTAACTTATTGGTTTTTTATCACCATAAAAGTTAATCCAAACACTTTTTAAAAAACTCATTTTACCACCACTATAAACCAATAAACAATTTTATTTAAAAGTACTTTTAGAATTCAAAAAACATCCTAAACACCCCCTTACGCAAATGCTTTTAGATTTCATTAAATTTCTCTTTCTACCAAGTGTAATGTAATTGTTCATCATATCATTCAAAACAATCTACATCATTATCTCAAAATACCCACGGTGTTCATTCTTATCTAAAAAACATGGACAACCAAAGTAAATGAGTTTTTATCACTCCAAGAAATTGAAAACTAAGCTTAAAATGGATTTCCTTGTCTGCTATGTTTTGAAGCTGGGACCACTTGAATCAAAATGTTTTCTATCAGATAATGTGATTTACAATATTTTTATTCTTCTAGACTAGATAAGTGGTCCAAATAGGCTGCCGCTCAAGGAAAATGCCTTTTGATGATAATGTTATACTAAATCCAAAATCCGAAGTTCAGAATCCAAAATAGTGTCCGAAATGTAATATTTCAAAATCCAAAATAGCGTCTGAAATGTAATATTAACGGTTTTTGATATTCCTATACAAAATCAATAAATCCAAATCGGTGATCATTTTTAAAATGACGCTATTAAAAGAATAACTACATTTTCAATTTTTCATGATTCTCCCTTAAATTTACTCGATTTTCAAATTAAAATACTCACTTGTCATTGTAGGTCAAACATTGTTCTTTGACAATAGCATATGCACCACAACCAGTGCATTCTGAACCTATATAGTCCTGACTTGTCATTATCCGCAACTGATTATTCGAATACCAGTGTCGAACAATTAATAACGTACAACAACCACTGCACACTACACAACTATCGGTGTAGAAAAGAGAGAAGCTGAACTGAACTAAACACAGTACAATAAGCAATGCAAAAGGTACAACATATAGTAGCCCCAATGTTGATGCTTAAACTGAAGAAAAACACAGCGGTACACAGATGAAGGTAAAGACAATTCTTAACCATACATATGCATGTGGTCAGTTAGGTCCCACCACATCTTTTTCCACATTATCTTACAGCATTTCATTCCCAATAGTCTTTTTCTATAAATTCTTTTATTCCTTAAATACTAGGTGTGAGACCCATATATTACATGAGTTTAACTAAAAAAAATTAAATATGAAATTTTAACAATTTAAAAAAGTTTGAATTTATAAGAAAAATGAGAAAAATTTTAAATTATTAAAATTAGTAAGGCTTTAATGTATTGAATACATTACATATATAAACCATTTCTAATAAATACTTTACATATATATTACCTTACATATTAAATATGAAATTTTAATTTAATAGAATGAAAAATACAATAAAATGACAAGTGGAAAATAGAAAATTTTAAACATTCTAGAAAATGTCATGTGTCTGTTAGGCGTGTCAGACCCAACAAATAATAGGGGTACGATATACTCCAAAAGAATCACACTATATTGCACTAAAAGGTAGTACAAGGCAAGCAGGGTCGATCCACAGAGACACATGATAATTAGTCTATACTTCTTTGCGCAAGGTACTATGGTCACCAACAGTAAAGGGGGGGGGGGGGGGTTGAGTGTAATGATGTAGCAAATCAATTTAAAACACGAGTAAACAACTAAACCAATGAATTAAGTTCAGATTTTGTAAGGACTCAAACTCCATGTATGACAATCTAGCAATGTGAATCAAAGATGACAAGACATTTGATTCATTCTATCTAAGTTGGTACTTAAAAGTGTTAACAAGCTCTAACACTTTCCATTCACCACATTAATCAATCAAAACAAGCTCTTTGATTAATCCTAACCTTACTAACCTAATCTAAACAAGCTCTTAGAAGTAGATTAAAAGATTGCATTAAGCTTATTGTGAATGTTCCCAACAACACCCAATACTCCTCACAAGCTCGGGAGCGTAAGAGTGTGTGAATAAGATTTACACTAAATTCATTCAATGGAAATCAGTTTAGTGCTTGTTACTTGTTCAATTTCACAAAACAATTACGGATCTTGTAAAAGAGATAACTTGAATGACCTAACCCTAATTCAAATGGCCAATAAGAATCACAATTAGAATCAAACATTCGATTAAAGCAAAATCAAATTCACTAGATAGAAATTAAAAGCAAACATCAAGTCATATGATTGAAATCATAACTAAGAAGTCAAGACATGAAGTTGGAGAAACTAGGGTTCTAGCCACACATGGCTAGAACAAAATCACAAGTCTAAAGATGAAATTAAGTGTAATTACAACTTACAAAAATGAGAATTAATGTTTCCAAATGATTAACGGACAAACCCTTGCAAAAACCTTCGAAATCTCCTCTCCAATGGTGCTCTGATATGTTGTGTGTTCTCAAAAATGACCCAATTCTCGACATAAGGAAAAAGGGAAAAACTGCCAAAAAGCAGTTTTTTAGTTGAACACGGCCCGTGTCGATATAGAGTAAATCAACACAGGTCGTGTTAAGTGAAAACACACCCTTCAACTTCGATTCCAACTCTAAAGTATGATGCTAAAAAAATGTTCAACTGGACCAACACGCCCCGTGTTAATATAGAGTAAATGAACACGGGTCGTGTTCAGTGAGGTCAAACTGCCTGGGATGGTCAAACACGCCTCGTGTTGGATTTCTAGGCCAAACCCAACACGCACCGTGTTGCCCTCTGACGCCGAGTCCGAACTTGATTTTCTCAATTCTTCCGTTTTACGCCCGATCATCCCGCAATCTTCACCAATGCCCCCCGGCACCTCCAAAAGCGCGCTCCAACCTCCGGTTTACCTGAAAATGTCATTAAAGAGTGCAAATAAGGTTGTTCCAGAAATTAACCTAAATATGATGAAATGCAATGAAAGCAATGAACAATTATGCTAAAAACATACATACAAATGGCTAAAGGTTGTGCAAAAAAGGTGCACAAAATGCAGCTAACAGTGTCCAAATGAAGGAGAAGAGGACATATGGCAAAAAACCTTCATTTATTAGAGTAGATGTGTTTCAAATTGATAATTAGTATATTTGAAGTGACAATGGATTTTCAAATTGATAATTAGTACTAGGTGTGAAACCCGTGTATTACACGGGTTGATTTAAAAAAAAACATTAAATTAAAGTGTAAACAGAAAATATTTTTTAATATACAACTTTAAAATAAGAAAGAAAGAAACATATTTATTGCAATTTAATATTATATATATATATATATATATATTATATATATATATATATATATATATATATATATGATATTTAATACTTTACATATATAAGTATATGACTTTAATTTTAAAAATTGAAACAAATCAAAAATTGACAAGTGGATAATATTTATTTCAAAAATATCACAAAATGACAAGTATCAAAACTCATGAGAGATTGACATGTGACAAAAAAATCTTCATTTATTAAGAAAGATATTTGAAGTGGTTGGAGGGAGTGGTGTCACCGAAACCGCACTCCCTCCCCCGCCACATAAACGCCACGTCACTTTTTACCATACAAGTGTGGTTTCATGCCACACCAAGGGAGTAAGATTATGGTAAAGAGAGAGAAAAAGAAAAAAAAAAAGAAGAAGGTGATTGGTTAAAAGAGAAGAGAGAGAACAAATAAAAAAGGAGAGAGAGAATAAAAGTGCAGCAAAAGAGTACCGCACTGCGGCCTAAATCGCACCAAACCGCAGTCAGGGGGCGGTGTTCCCCTGCCTATGTGGCAAAAGGTGCGGTAAAGACCGCACCCACACCCCACAACCTTATCCATTTCCATATGAGACATTAAGGTACAACAACTAATGGAAAACGTACAACATGATCAACATACATGATAATATATCAATATGACTTTTCACACAACAATTAAACCAAATTCTACAACATGATCATCATTTGATTGACCCTATGCATTATTTGAACCGAAGAAAAACACATCAGTATAAAGATGAAGCAAGAAACAAAGAACTCAATTTACCAAAGCAATGCATGTGGCCAAATGGGTCCCACAACGTTTTATGTTTTTACACAACAAACGAAACTTTCATATATGAACCTTTACATTAATGTCAGTTACTTCACTGAGATATGCACAGTTGTTCGTTAAAGCTCCATGTTAAACAACAAGGTACAAAAACTAATGCCAAAGGTACAACATTAAGAGTAGCTTTTGTTATTCCCTATAATGATACTTAAATTGAGGAAAAACACACAAGAATAAAGATGAAGCTAGAAACAAAGAACTCAGATCACCGAGAAAATACATGTGGCCAAGTGGGTCCCACATCTTTTTGCTAGATTGTCTCTTTCTTGCCATTCACAAAACATCCTTTTTGACGGACTTTCATCTTCATATATCACAATCAGTAACATGACAACATCTTCAATGTTGTAGCTTTCAAAGAGAGATAGATAGAGAGAAGGGTAGAAAAGGAAAACGATTAAATGGGTTTTCTTGAGTTTTTCATTTTCGCATTAATCTCAGTTTCTTCATTCAAATGTTGTAAGAGTGTTGATGATGATAATGATGATGATGTTCTTGGGCTTATAGCATTCAAAGCCGACATTATCGACTCATCAGCTCATCTATCCTCATGGAATCAAGAGGACAACTCTCCATGTTCATGGAAGTTCATAACATGTAATCCGGCGACCGGAAGAGTCACCGAGGTGGCTCTCGACGGTTTAGGTCTCTCCGGGAAGATCGGAAGAGGCCTCGAGAAGCTTCAAAACCTCCAGGTACTCTCTCTTGCTCATAACAATCTCACCGGAAACCTCCACCCTCAACTCTCTCTCCTCAACAATCTCCAAACCCTAAATCTTTCCGGGAACTCTTTCTCCGGCGGCTTCCCGCCGTCGCTTATCAACTCCGGCAGGATAAAGTTCCTTGATTTATCTGACAACTCGCTTTCAGGACCCATTCCGGTAGACACCTTCTCAACCTGCTCATCTCTTCGAGTACTTTCGTTGTCAAAAAACAATCTCCAAGGTCCGATTCCTGATTCGATTTCTCAATGCACTATCCTAAACCACCTTAATCTTTCCAAAAACCGGTTTTCTGGTAACCCAGACTTTTCCACGGGTCTGTGGTTGTTAACCCGGATCAGAACATTAGACCTTTCACACAATGCGCTATCGGGTCGGATACCAAATGGGGTATCGGGTTTGCATTACTTGAAAGAGCTTTCTTTACATAACAATCACTTCATAGGATCTTTGCCTTCTGATATCGGGTTATGTTCACACTTTAAAAAGTTGGATTTAAGTAATAATCTTTTCACAGAAACAATTCCCGATTCTTTCAAGGGTCTTTCGTCTTTAACTTATTTAAATCTAGCGAACAATCTGTTAACCGGTGATTTTCCTAAATGGATCGGGGATTTGAAGGGTGTTGATTACTTGGAAGTATCGGGAAACGGTTTGACCGGAATATTACCGGCGTCGATTGGTGGTTTAGGGTCGTTGACTTACTTGAGTCTTTCTGGTAATAGTTTAACTGGAAACATTCCCGAGACATTAATCTACTCGAGTAAACTAACCGTGGTTAAGTTAAGAGGTAATAGGTTCAATGGGAGCATACCCGAAGGTTTATTCGAACTCGGGTTGACCCAGATTGACCTTTCGAGGAACCAGTTAACCGGTTCGATCCCTCCTGGATCGAATCGGTTATTCACAGCTCTTCAGACCATGGATCTATCGGGAAACGGGTTAACCGGTGACATCCCGGCTGAAATGACACTTTTCTCCAATTTAAGATACTTGAATTTATCATGGAATAATTTCGAGACGAGAATGCCCCTGGATGTCGGGAATTTTCCGAATTTAACCGTGTTGGATCTTCGAAATGGAGCTTTTCACGGGTCGATTCCGGGCGATATATGCAACTCGGGCAGCCTCGAAATCCTCCAACTTGATGGAAATTCTTTGACCGGATCCATCCCGGACGATATCGGGCACTGTTCATCACTCTATTTGCTGTAAGTCTTAGCATCTTTATATGTGTAGGGGCAAAACTGTAATTTGACATTGATGTTTAAATGTTGCAGGACATTGTCTCATAACGACTTGTGTGGGTTTATTCCAAGATCAATGTCGTTATTGAAAAAACTCAAGATTCTAAAGTTAGATTCTAATGAGCTAAGTGGTGAGATACCACCGGAGCTAGGTGGTTTAGAAAACCTCCTAGTGGTAAATATATCCTACAATAGACTACAAGGAAGACTTCCATCCAGGGGTATATTTCCAAGCTTACAAGAAAGTTCTTTAGAGGGTAATCTCGGTATTTGCTCGCCTTTCGTAAAAGGACCATGTAAAATGGATGTCCCAAAGCCTTTAGTTCTCGACCCGTATGCATACGGGGACCAAATCGGAAGTCATGAAAATGGAGCAGGGGCAAAATCGTCAAAACATTCCAACCACCGGAGATTCTTAAGTGTTTCAGTCATTATCGCGATATTAGCAGCTGTTTTGATCTCCATTGGTGTGTTGGTGATAACTTTGTTAAATATCTCCGCAAGAAAACGGATGCAATTTGTCGATAATGCCCTCGAGAGTTGCTCGAGCTCATCCCGGTCAACTCGCAGTGTATCCTTCGGGAAGCTAGTTTGGTTCGATTCCAAGATTGCCCCTGGTTGGGTTTCGAATCCTGAATCATTACTAACCAAAGGAGCTGAGATCGGTGGGGGTATAATCGGAACAGTGTATAAAGCTTCATTAGGAGAAGAAGGTAGAGATCTTGCAATCAAGAATCTCATCGTATCAAACATGGTGAAATCAAATGACGATTTTGACCGAGAGGTTCGCGTTTTATCAAAAGCAAGACACCCTAATCTTGTATCGGTCAAAGGGTATTTCTGGAAACCTGAATTACAGCTTCTAGTGACAGAGTATGTATGTAATGGAAGCTTACAATCCAAACTCCATGACACGTCAACTTCAAGTCAACTTTCTTGGTCAACCCGGTTCAAGATCTTGTTAGGAACCGCAAACGGGCTAGCCCATTTACACCATTCATTTCGTCCACCTATTATTCATTACAACATCAAGGCTAACAACATTCTTCTAGATGAAAACTTCAACCCTAAAATATCGGACTTTGGGTTGACTAGAATAATGGCGAAACTTGACAAACAAGTAATGAGTAAAAGGTTTCAAAGTGCATTGGGCTACGTGGCACCAGAGTTGGCTTGTCAAAGTTTAAGGGTAAATGAGAAATGTGATGTTTATGGTTTTGGGGTGTTGATTCTTGAAGTTGTAACAGGAAGAAGGCCGATTGAATATGGGGATGATAATGTTTTGATACTTAGTGAAGAAGTTAGGGTTATGTTGGAAGAAGGGAATGTGTTGGAGTGTGTTGATATGAGAATGGGGGAGTATCGTGAAGATGAGGTTTTGCCTGTTCTTAAGTTGGCTTTGGTGTGTACTTCTCAGATACCTTCGAGTAGGCCTTCAATGGCTGAAGTGGTTCAGATATTGCAAGTTATTAGGACTCCTGTTCGTCATAGGATGGAAGCTTATTAAGATTAAGAGTGTTGCAAAGTTTTAAGTTTGATTATGTATAATTGTAGTAGGTTTTTGTTCTTTGGGATTTGATGTTTTCTTCACTTGTATGGGTGATTTTAGTAATTACTTGCCTTCTCTATGTCTATCAACATTGGCTTTTGTTTGTAAAATGTATATAGATGGGCAAAACAATCTGAAATTTAAACGGTTCTTCATCTGAAAACAGTCTTAAAAAAGACGGTTAAATCAATCATACACCGAAACTAATTTCAATTATAAATTGGCTAAAACTAAACCCGGTCTAAAATCGTATTAAAATCGGTCATAAACATGTTAAAAACTGAAACCAATTTAAATTTGTTGTTTGATCGGTCATAAACTATATATTAATTTTTTTTATTAATTTACAACATAAGATTAATAACAACTAGACGGGTAACACGCAGGGCAGAATGTCTTTGTTTTTTGAGACAAATAAGGAAATACATTGCATAAATTGGTATCGAAATTAAAGTATGTGCTATTATGTATAATTTGTCATCAATCGGATGAATGGAAATGTAAGCAGAAATTGATTACTTAATTGGTCCTTGTGGAAGAATTATTTTATATAATGGTCACTTTTGATAAAAAGATTACAGAGTTGGTTCCTATGATACAAAAACATTACCAAAATGGTTCGTTTGTAGAAAAATATTACAAAAATGGTTTGTATACATAAAAATATTACATAAATAGTCCATGTACACAAAAATATCACACAAATGACAACTATGGTAGAGAAGCATTACCGAATTTCTCTTTGTGACATAAAAACATTACAAAATGGTCTTTGCTGCAGAAAATATTTACATAATTGGTCTTTCTGTAGAAAAACATTACAAAATTGGTCCATGTACCGGAAAAGATTAGAGAATTATATTCTTATATCTTGCACTTAGCTCATTATTGGACTAAATGCAATAAATAGGTATGGTACCTGCACAAAAGCTTCCTTCCAACCTCCACGGCTGAACTCGAATCAAATTTCTGAAAAGGACTATGATATACATTGCAAATTTACTTTTTTGCCATTTTGCAAAACATTTTCAATACTTACACAAACTTACCAACAAAAATGATTACTGTTAGAATCCAATCCCTGCAACACATTTTCAATAAAAGTTAGGAGTACATCTCATATTCCATATCTAGCCACCAAAAAGTCATTCTATAAATTTCTTACTATTAAAAAATTGATATGTATGTGTGTTCAGCAAAAAAATATAAAGAAAAAGTAGCACCCTTTTTACCTTGGCACTGGCAGATAGTCCAAAGAAGGACTCAACCTCCTCAAGCTTTACATCATACTCAATTGGCGATGCATCAATTTTTCTACTATCTAATTACTCAATTGCCACTTCTTTTTTTGGGATTTCTGTGGCATCTTCTCCTGATCACATATTAAATTATTAAAAAAAATGAAACTAGTGTAAAAAAATCATAAATAATTAATGCTGAAGTTCAGGTATATCCATGGTTCTTCTTTCCTAAATGAGAATGCACTTGGGGCATTTCACTCGTAAAAATGGAAAAAAAAAATACATATAAATTGAAAGTATGTTGCCATTTAGGGCATTTCACTTGTAAAAATGGAAAATGCACTTAATAGGATAACCTCTTATTACCGGACCAAAGATTGGAAAGCCTTCAGAAGCAAAAGCTGCAAATTAAAAATGCATATCAGCTAGACTCAAGAACCAAAATTGTAATTTACTCCTATGTATATGTAATTTGATGTAGGAAAGCTTTGATTCCAGATGGGCTACTTAAACTTTCAGAAGGGATTTGGTGTCCCTAGGTGGTTCAATCGTTTGAAAAATTGGACATGAACACATGAAAAAAAAACCGAACAAATCAGCATAGAGGCATAACCAAAAATAGTTGGTATGCCGATTGTTTTTCTCCTAAAGTAGAAACAGGTGGATGCTAAAACAAAAAGCAACTTTTTAAAGATATTTTTTAAATCTTGATAAAACTCAAAATACGAATACATCGGCATCCTTGCCCAGATGAACTACATGAATTTTGAGATGAGTAAAAACTTGTTTCCGTTCTTCCTATTTCCTAGTAAAACAGTGAAGCAATCTCATATTTTGGTTTGAAGAATTCCATAAATGACAATCATCAACAAAAGGGTAATTTGTATGTGGAAAAAAAGGCATAAATGCCCTCCATGTTCATTATTGAATATACCCCTAGAAAGTTTATTTAATGTAATACAAAAAACATATCTGACCATGAATCATGGTGCTGATACATATTTCGACTAACCACCTGCATCGCTTATGCTTGTGTCTCAATACCAATAAACAGAAATTCATGTCCAAGATCAACTCAAATGTTTTAATTTTTATATCAGAATGTATTTACCTCATTCAATGCGAAAATTGACTGGAAATCCTGAAGACATACGGACCACACCCATTGAAGCGATTAATTCAAACTGAGCCAAAGTGAAAATTGGGGGAAAACACAGTTGATGTTTGAGTTTCGAAGCAAAATTTCACACAACAATTAACATGTTGAAAATTTGAAATAAAATAAATAAAAATGTAATCTCATCACCGACACAATTGCTATTTACCTGGAGTTTCTTAATACCATTATTATCCACCAATATATCACATAAAACCTGCATATAAAAGCACATACATTATTCCATAACTATAAACATCATAAATATGAAATATTAGATAACTGGTAAAAACAAAATCTAAAAACTAGTTCAAGCAATATCTACCTCTTCATTAACCTGGAAAAGGAAAAACAGGGGAAAGCACCGACAACGTTAGCCCTCCGTGCAGTTTACTGTTCCTAACTTTCAGGGGAAAAACAGGGCAAAATCGTCAGATTTAGTGCCAAAAATCTGAACCACTAAAAATATAAAAACGAAAATATAAAAACTTATGGACCAATTTTACCAACCTCTCATGCAGTTTACTGTTCCTAACTTTCATTTCCTTAATATATATATATATATATATATATATATATATATATATATATATATATATATATATATATATATATATATATATATATATAGGATATGTGGATATGGAAATAAATTTAACCAACAATGAATTTTATATTTAGTAACCAGCATCATTTAAACATATATATTTATATATTTAGTAAATAGTATGATAATAAATATAAAAAAAATTCAAATAAATATCATTAACTTTTTATCTAACTTACAATTACTAACTATAAAGATTTGCCTTTATTGTGACTTGTTAGAATATTAAAGACATCCCAATGCAAGTTTAACAAGAGATTGATGAGTGGATATGTGATGACAATTAATAAAAATTCAATATAGTATTGATGACTTAACAGAAAATAATTGAATGGTAGAGTTGTATTTCTATTCGATGGTTAAATTGAAATCTGAGCTGATCATTTGATCAAGAAAATTGAAATTGATTTTGATTTTCAAATATGCATCCAAATAGTTTAAAATAAATTAAAATATGAACCCTACCAACCAAATTGTAATTTGTGCATCATTTTTACAATGTGGATTTCAATAATCAAGACGTTTCCAAAAGCTTATGTAATTTTTAAAGTCATTAGATAACCTCCAAATGGAATCATTTAGAGGCCACGATTGAATTGTTTAACATTTGGCGCGTAGAGGTCACATCTTAATTGGTTAGCATTCAACGTGTTTGGTAAAACCTCTGAACGGTTAAGAAACCCTACCTTCTATTAACCATTAAAATGTTGATGTTATTTAACACTAAACGATTCAGTTTTATCAAATAATCGACTCCAAACCATTTAATATAATTAGAAACAAAGCAACTCCAATAAATTAATAAATTATTAATAAAAATAGTTAATTACAAAACTAACCATACATTCTAAAAAAATTATTTAAACCTATGCTTTTTATCTCACATTTTCCCATTTTATCCTCTGGTAATAGGAAAAAAAGGTTCTGGAAATTAAAAAAAAAAAAAAAAAAAAACTCACACTTGACAAAAAAATCATTTGAACCAACTTTTTCGTTTTAGCTCAAAATTCTTTGGTTCTTCTTGTTGTTGTTGCTTATGGCGTTCTTGTGACTTTTACATTAAAATCTAAATGAGCCATTAGATTGTTATTTGAACAAATAGAAACGTTGTTATGTTCCTTTCTTGCTTGCAAAACACTTATCAAAATCTTATTTACATGATGCTTAGAGATTGTAGGAGGTGAAGAACAACATTTAACATTAGCATGATCTTAGATTGTCTTAACATCAAACAGAAAAAAAAAAATCTCACTCCAATCAATGTTTTGGAAATCTAGTTTTAGGTTTCAGGTTTTCCCCTTTAGAAACATTTTCAAGCTCAAAAGTTATTTGATCCATAATAATCTTATAGTTTCCTTTAAGACTTAATTTTTTTCCCATAGTTGATAGCGGCCCATCGGGCCACGCCAAACCATGTCAGGTGGCGACGCCTCGAAACACATGCTTGAGATTGTGCGGGAGCGATCCTATGCCAGTCTAGAAAGCAACGCCCACGGGGACAACTTTTTAACACCCTCTTTCGGCCGGATTACGACGGGAAAGTCGCCTAGCGACAAAGCGGTATTAGTCGACAACCTTAGTGGTTCACGCACCACAACCAACATCCCCCATGAACTAATTATATAAGGGCGATAGCCACACTCTCAACATTAAGGTCCTTAAGGCTAATACTTTCACTACTACTCTCTCATAGATAACTTGGCCGTTGGAGCATCCTTCCGGGATCACCTCCTGGAGAACGCCTGACGAGTTTACCTTTTGTGTCATGGGGTTCGATTACAGGCGGTAATCCCATCGAAACTACCCAAGGAGCACCACTTTGCATCATCAATAGTCATATCAATATTGGTAGAGTCAACGAAGAATGTAGCATGTGAAGAATAATCATTTCAAAACTAGTTTGGTATCTTAGATTGTTTTAAGAATCACAAGAAATTTGGATATTTAATTTCAGTTTTCATGTTTTCCGTTCGATATTTTCAATCTCATAAGTGATTTGATCCATAATAATTTAATTAGCTTCCTTAAGACTTGTTTTTTTCCCATAAATAACTATATCAATGATAGCAGAGTCGACAAAGTTTTTAGTCATTGCATTGTTGTTCATTTTCAAATTAACAGACATAGAACCTTCACTTAGCAAACACAAAACCTTTGATCTCCAAATTAGCAAGTGCAAAATCATTGATCTCCAACACGGAAAAATTTAGAAGATGTTAGGATATTTTAATAAAAAGTAGGTTTAAAATGAATATATATATATATATATATATATATATATATATATATATATATATATATATATATGTGGGAAAATACCGGGTATACATATTATTTGGGGTTGAATTCCAAAATATAGACACAAAAAATTGAATTTCCGAGTATAGACATAGATTCCACGGAGGTAGCTCCGCGGAATCCACTGTAGCTCCGCGGAATGGCAAAATCGTAAATAAATGAGGGAATTTAAAAATAATAATAATAATAATAATAATAATAATAATAATAATAAATAAAGATCCATTCCGCGGAGCTACCTCCGAGGAATGAACTCATTTCGCGGAGGTAGCTCCGAGGAATGGATCTTCAGGAAAAAAAAATCACCCCAATGATTCTTTTATCTAAAGATCTTCAATTAAAAGACCAATTTTTTTTCACCTCACATTCATTCCAAACAATGTCAAAAAAAAAAATTCATATTATCATAATCTTTTCTTGAAAATAATTAGTTGAGGAATAAATATAAACCCCGAAGAATCGATTTGAAAAAAAAAATCTGAAGATTGATTCCTCGGAGCTACCTCCGCGGAATGAGTTCATTCCTCGGAGGTAGCTCCGCGAAATGGATCTTGAGTTTTTTTTAATTCCCTCATTAATTTACGATTTTACCATTCCGCGGAGCTACAGTGGATTCCGCGGAGCTACCTCCGCGGAATCCATGTCTATGCCCAAAAATTCAATTTTGTGTCTAAATTTTGGAATTCAACCCCAAAAAATGTCTATAGCCGGTATTTTCCATATATATATATATATATATATATATATATATATATATATATATATATATATATATAGAGAGAGAGAGAGAGAGAAATGATCATTTGAGAACTCAAAGTTTCCCGAGAACCCGAGAACCGATTGTGAGCCGTTAGATCAAAATAATAAAAGGTTAGGATGCTCGGTGGCGTTTTTGTAAATAAATGGGAAAATTAAACACGGGGGTATGGTTCTGAAATTAATCGAAGGGCATTTATGGTACTGAAGAGATTATCCCCCAAATCAATCGATGCCGCTCTCAAATCCCTCATCGTCTTTGTCCGTCATCCCTCTTTCTCTTACAAATTCATCGTCGATCCTTCCCCAATCCAGAACCATCGCCTGACATCTATGGTTTCCTCCGTCAAATGTCTCCGTTATTCATTGAATCAGGTAAGGTGAAGACTACTAATCCATGGTCCTTATCCTCCGTATCATCGATGGTGAATCCACGAGCTAAGAGATCGATGTCATTAGTTTTCATCTTCAATTGCGACAGTATTATGATGGATCTTTGATAGCCGAAGTATGTGTAATCACGTCGTACAGAAAGAGATCCCCACTGAAGATCAGACTCACACACATGCGCTGAAGATCGATGAAGGACCACAGTTATTGTCGATTTTCAACAATATCATCGCCGATTTCAATGAAATCACCATCGATTTCTAGCACAAGTGATCAAAATCACACACATAAAGTCGATTATTGCTCATCGCAACGCAGGTCCGTCCTTCGGTACATGTCGACACCATCTCTAGTATCTTCTTCACTTTTTCAATCACTGAAACTGTACTTTTGGAACGGAGAGGATTTTACCGATGGTTCTCACAATCCCCTGACAGACGAGTTCCTTTTTCGATTGGTGAGATGTGTTAATCTAGACTCGAATTAGTCTTCTAAGATACATCTTAATGCCTCCTCTGTATATATTCAATCAAGTTTTGTTCATCATTAAGCCCAATGCCAAAGTGATAGGTTTTAGTTAGTCCATTTGATTTGAACTATTGTGTTTCTATGCCTCTGCAAATTGCTGATTAAGATACTTATTCATTCGATTTCAAGAACAGAAAGTGGTGATTACCTCAAGTGATTTTCATACTTAAAAAAAACTTAATTACCTCAAGTGCTTCATCCAGCTTCATCAAGTACTCCTCTGTTGTGATTCGACTCTGTTGACAGCATAATAAAAATGTGTAAATCCCATAATAAGCACAAATAACAGAATTTATAGAACAAATAATCAACTTACAGGAACTTCAACTGGTTGATCAATGTATCTCCTGGCCTCATAATCCTAATAAAGAAATGAAATGGAAATATAATTAATTTAAGTTCAAACTTGAAGTTTAAGTATATGATTTAGAAGAAGGCAGCTCACAAGTTCCTGTAAACATCAACAGGGATTTGCTCAATTTAGTTCTTGCTGTCTCTTTTGCAAAAGAACAAGTTCAGATTCTTTCAAGGTATTCTTTAAAATTGTTTTAATAGAACTTATTATATATGGTGCTTACTATTGTTTTGGTTTATTTGCTTTGAATGTAGCAACATAGCTGGGTTTATTTGGATCACTGATATTGATATTCCAAGGTTTGATTGAGAGCTCTGAACTTATTAAATATTAAATATAGAATACAAATTAATTTTGTGTTGTATTTACAATTTCAGGAAGAAAATCACATATCTAGCTCCATCAGGAGGAGAACTTCCGAGCAAAAAATAGACCTGATAGTCTATTGTTTTCAGCATTCAACCTGCTTCCCTGAAAACTCAAGAGTCAGCCCTCTGTATTTATGCACTACACCTATTAAGGTTTGTTCTTTTATTTATGACATGGGTCCTAGATAGTTTTTAGATGTGAATTTTAAAAATGAGTAATCATTTGCTAAAAGATAGGGATAGTTAGGAAATTTTACATATATCTCAATAATTAGTTATCTTGCAACAACTCATTACATTATTATCCAAATTTAATTATTTTGTCGTATATAATATCCATTGTATTAATTTGGATGTGATTCATATATTTACATGTGAATTATATGTGATTCACACGTGATTCACATGTAGATCATATGTGATTCACATGTAAATCTCATGTGATTCACATATTAATCACATGTAAATCATATATGAATGATATGTGATCCACATGTAAATCACATAGTAATTACATGTAAATTACATGTAATTCACATATGAATCACATGTAAATCACGAGTGAAACACATGAATTACATGCGATTCACATGTAAATAACATGTAATTCACATATGAATTACATGCGATTCACATGTAAATAACATGTAATTCACATATGAATCACTTGTGATTCACATGTAATTCACATATGAATTACATGTGATTCACATGTAAATCAATGTAATTTACATATGAATCAGATGTGATTCACATGTAAATCACGAGTGAAAAACATATGAATTACATGTGATTCATATGTAAATAACATGTAATTCATAATTCACATATGAATTACATGTGATTCACATGTAATTCACATATGAATCACATGTGAATATCACATTATATAATCTCATGTGAATCTTAAAAGATACATTCACATGATAGTTAAAAGATACACATTATATAATCAGATGATATAATCTCATGTGAATCTTACATGATATATACATGTACAATTTTGTGAGTGTTCTTGCATTAATCATTTTTTTTTTAATTTTCTTGTAGAATTTGAAGAATTTGTGGAAAAAATTGAAGAGGTGAAAAGTGATAAATTGAAGAAAATATGAAAATCTTGATATGAAGAAATGATAGTATTGTGAATCGTTGTAGTTTTTTTTATATTTTATTTTGTATTGAATAAAATACTTGTAGTATTATGTTTATAGATTGATTAATAAAATTGAGATTTTTTATGATTTACTTACGAATATGATTGTATAAGAAAATATTCATATATGCATTTTAAAAAATATGTATATATGCACCTAAAACGTTGATTTTTTTCTAAAAAATTAGAGTTTTTTTTTTAAATATTATAGTTTTTTTTAAATATACTGATGTTTAAAAATTTACTTTTTAATAAAAAATGCAGTTTTTTTTTGTAAAAAATTGCAATTTTTATAAAAAAAAACTGCAGTTTTTTCTTAAAAAAATTGCAGTTTTTTCTTAAAAATTGCAGATTTTTTTTTTTGAAAAAAAATGCAGTTTTTTTTTTGAAAAATTACTGTTTTTTTTTTTAAATTGCAGTTTTTTTGAAAAAAAAAATACAGTTTTTTTAAAAAAAATTGCAGTTTTTTTGAAAAAATTGCAGTTTTTAAAAAATCATTTTTTTGAAAATTCATTTTTTCTGAAAAAATTAAAAAAATCTCCATTGAAAAAAACGAAAATTATTATTATTTTTTTAAATATGAAATTTGTTTTTTTATGTTAATTTTTAGAACTTTTATTAATCTTTCCAATAACAAAAAAAAATAAACATTAAATAAGATTGGTAAAATGACGATCATGTCCTTAATGAATTAATTTCGATCCAACGTTCCACTTTTAGTTCTCGGGAAACTTTAAGTTCTCAACCGATCTCAACCCTATATATATATATATATATATATATAATATATATATATATATATATATATATATATATATATATATATATATATATATATATATATAGGGTTGAGATCGGTTGAGAACTCAAAGTTTCCCGAGAACTAAAAGTGGAGCGTTGGATCGAAATTAATTCATTAAGGACATGATCGTCATCTTACCAATCTTATTTAATGTTTATTTTTTTTTTTGTTATTGGAAAGATTATATGGTTTTCATTTTAGTATCCAAAATCCAACATAATGTGAACCATACAGTCTAATCCGAATCGTTGGGCAATTCATTTTTACTCCTAGTCCCATATGTTTTTATTAGATAGAAATGTAACTAATAACCGTAGATATGGCGGTTATATAAAAAAGTTGGTGAAATTTTGTAACTTTTATTAGAAGTTTCTCTAAGCTTTTTGTTAATACTAATTACAAAATGATAATGTAAAAAGTTGTTTTATAATAAAAAAAAATTAATTTTAAAAGGAAAAAAACGATCCAAACTGAAACTGGCCTAAAAGAAAAGAAAACTGGACCGAGACCGATCCAAAACCGTTTTTTTTTTTTTTTTTTTTTTTTTTTTTGTTATTTACATTACCTGTTACTAGTAATAATACATTTTACAAACAAGAAAACAAATACAGTAAATATGTAGCAAGGTGTAATGGAGTAATGGTACGCATAAACTTAATAATTCATCATACAAATAAGGAAAAAAAAAATACACATGCTATCTAATTAAAAAAAACTAAAAGGATCACTAACTATCAAAATGTAGAGCTCAAAAATGAAATTAAAATGGTAACACAAGACAACAGAATTGGAAGCCTAGCATTATTTATTTCTAACTATAAATCAAATTATAAAGTGAACATATAAGCAAAATGCTCTAGACATGCAACTATACCAAAGATTATAAAAAAAAAATGAAAGATTAGCAATCTTACTAATTACTTTGTGTGGGTGTTTGTTTAATCATATGTTCATTTAAGAAAAAACTTCCAAATTTCCGTATCTGTCATTTCTTTAATTAAATGATTTCCAAAAATGCCCTCCTCATCTACCAGGCTCCTTAGTTGTCGAGCTGTGCTGTTGAACCCAACATAATTTTTTTTAGTAGCAATGAATACTACTCCATAAGGAGGCTTCAAGCACTGATTATCAAGAAAATTAATAAATCAGAAACCTAAATGAAATTCAAATATTCTTTTGCAATATAGAAACTGACCTTTTTAATGAGTGTATAAAGCTTCTTTAAAGAAGTTCCCGAATGTGGAATATCAGACATCAATATAACATCATATCCACCTCCAACATCACTCTCATTAGCCCTCTCCCACACCCTACTTCCAGTTGACTTTCTAGAAGAATGTTCTTGTCCCATGATGCTACCATCATGGCTGCTGTAGCTACACCTATCGATAAAATCATCTTCTGAGAAACTAAGGTTCATTACTGGTGATGCTTCTAGAACATTCTTCTCTACAACAGACAAAACTCCAGGAAGCTCTTCCCATTCTCCAGCATAAAAGTGAACTGTTGGAGAGAGAATTTGTCTTGATGGAGTAAGTGGAGTTTCAGGCTGTTTGCTTTGTTTATCCTTTTCTTGTTCAAGATTAGACATGACATTTGGGATTGTTGTACGTCTTATTGTTTCTGCATTTAGATCTTGAAAGTGCACTGTTGAAGCTCCCTGAAATACCAATGTACCTTAGTAAATAAATGATTAAATGTAAGTCTTTTTTATCCAAGATTATTGTACCTTTAGACAAGCAAAGATCCCTGGGATTCCATGGCCACAACTAAGCTGTAAAAAGGAGAAAAGAGAAGGATATTTAATTAGGGTAATCTTGTGAATCAGAAAAAAGAAAATAGTATAATAATCTGAGTATATACCTCAAGTACCCTTTTGCCTCTAAAGCTCAACTGTCCATCACGAATCTCATGCTTAAGGATGTTAACAAGATCAAATGAGCTATCCCAGGATTTCAAAGATGCTGCAACAAAATCATGTTAGATTCCCAGAATATAACAATTCATTTTTTATAGTAAACAATTCAAGATTGTAGTTAGTTAGTTAGTTACCATCAGGTTTTGATGATTTCAACTCTGAACCTATAATATCTGAGACACTAACTCTTCCCTACATTGAAAATAAAGTAAAAGCATTAAGTCACTACTACAGAATCTGGGAAATGAGCAGTTAGTAGATATAATATGAGGGGATAATATATATTGCACCTTGAAGAGGCTAACTTCTTGACAATCTATGTTTTCAACAGCATTTCTGTAAGGGTATCTCATCTGTGGAGAGAAAAGTTGTGCATTTTAAACCCAAAATCCCAAGATGTTTCATGTAGAGTGGAGAAAATCAGAAAGTAAAGTACCTTAGAGGGTAGAATCTCAACAGCTGGTGAAGGCAGATGCATCTCCTTATCAGATGTGATGGACATGCTTTGAGCTACCCTGTCATGGGGCACCAATCCAGGCAAGCATTGTGTAAACAATGATGGTGCACGCATTCTAATTAAGTCTGAATTCTTTCAGAAGAAAATCCTGTAAGAAAGCACTTGATTATATATTCCATTATGCCTTTTATATATGGCATAACACATAGTACATATATTGAATTTGAAGTACAAATTGTGTTTTAAGCTTTACAGAAACTGGTGTGAGAGTGACATGTTGATGAAGACTACTATTAACACTTGTACTAACTGCACATCTAACTTGAAATTTTCTAGAAATTCTTAAAGCCAAAAGACAAACAACAAGACAAACATCTTGACCTTTATCAATGTAAAATGATCTAGACACTACTAGAACAAAAATACAAAGTGAAAAGTAGCACATACTGTTCAAAAATTGCAAAACAAAACAGAAATTTTAGATCGAAATCCAATTCCAGAAAAACTACAATAAGCTTCAAACAAAACAACTGATTATACTAATCAGAAACACAAACATATTACGATTTTGGATCAAGCATTCCATTTAACAACTTTTCCATCAGTCAACAAAATTCAGCATACGTAAACCGATAATCAAGCCATTAAACAGCAAAACTCGAAAACAAACAAGCAGAATTATACAAATTGATGTGAAGAACGATGAACGAAAAACGAACAGAAACATACCGAAGCAATAAACAACGAACTGGAACTGAATCACGATCCTTGGATGCAAACTACGACGAATTCAACGAAAGAGATGTAATGAAATATATATAATAGCTGTAACCTAGTAGAAATTGAAGGGGTTTTTTTTATTCAAAGGTCAAAAGAAAACACCAAAAATCGAAGAACAGAAGCTTCCGGATACAGACTTGCCTTTGCAAATTGCAGCTGGTGGGTATATATTTTGCTATAATGACGATTAAGTCCTTTGACGTTTTCAAAATAGAAGGAAGTCAACGTGGCGAGGGTAGGTTTGGAGGTAGATTAAGAAGAAAAGTGAGGGTAAATTGGACCACAACTTTAGCGGTTGGTTGATGATACGGATGCCTTGTTGGCTGGTATGAAAAGGGGGAAGGAGCAAACGGGGGAATATCGTCATCTATGGCCACGTGCATGGCACGTCATTCTCGTGGTAGGTAAAATAGTCTTTTCACTTCTTCCATGAAGATAATTAATAGTAATAAATAAATAGATGAAATTTTATCATAATTTTTTAATATAAATGTAGAAATTTGTTTATGAGATTGAAGGGATTTGTTTATGTTGATGATGCCTTGTTGGCTATTTGGTTGGTATTAGATATTAATAATTAGATATTAATAAAGGAAAACAAGAATGGTTAATACATAAAAACTAGAATTAAGTGTATACAAATTGCAAAAATGGTCCCTGTGGTTGGCAAATTTATGTGTTTTTGGTCCAAAAC